ACACCTCATGGGTTCTGATAACATCCAGTAACGCTTCAACACTGAAGGTACAAAAAGATTGTGCAACAAACCAGGGCCCTCGTTCCTCAAAGCGATCGTAGCTACAATCAGTAAGCCCTATGATCAACTTTACAATTATCGTAAATAACAATTTATTGTTGTTCCTCAAAGCTATTGTAAGGGAATTGTAAGTCTTGTGATTGTAAATCTTTCGATCGTAAATTACAATCGTGATCTTCTGCACGAAAGTTAGAAATAATGCGTTTACATTACATCTGGTTGGCGAGAGTTGCTTCCCCTTTCCAAGCTCAGAGAAAAATCCACCCTTAGCAAGATATCGCAAAGTAATTAAAAGCTTGCTTTCTACGGATAGTGCATGTAAACGCTGGGTGTCCTAGAACAACCCAGGTTCTAGCAAGCTTCCCAGTTTCAGAATGGAGCCCCCGTCATTCTGTACCTTGAAAATATTTCAGCATCATTGTAAACTTCCAGAACACGACTATGGTCTTGAAATATCCTATCGGGGCCAAATTTCTGTCTCCTTTGTTTATGAATTACAACAAACACTGCCATCTTGTTCATACACAACAATCGATCGTAAGTAACTTACAGACTTAAGCAACTTACGGAAGTGGTTGCAACTTACAACTATTGTCACTTACAATTGCTTTGAGGAAAAAGTTAAAGTTACAATTGGATTGTAGTAATTTACAACTATCGTAGTGTTACAATCACTTTGAGGAACGGGGCCCAGAGCATGGACATTGTTAACAATGGTAGAATATATCAACGTCAATTAAATGTTGAAAACTTCTTAAAATCCTGATGTCAATGTAAGCACTATATTGTTGTAAGGGGCTTAATTTGCTGATGACAAGATTGATCAGAGATCAGCAGCATTTGTTATCGTAACAGCAATGTACTTGGAAACACATCAAAAGGTGAGAGTTTAGTTATACGTTGCTCTTAGCAATATTCCAGCAATATCACAGCAGGGTAGACCAGAAATGGGCTTCACACATTGTACACGTGGGGAATCGAACCCGGTTTTTCGGCATGATGAGTGAACACTTTAACCACTAGGCTACCCCACATCAAAAGGTGATTTTCAATTAAAATTAAAATACTTTACCGGTACATGAAGAGTAAGATAAGAGACCTTAGACACATACATTGCAAAAACAAATAGAGAATAAGTAAACTTTACATTCACTTCGCTCAATTCTGATGCTACCAAGAAACAAAATGTCAATAACAATTTGAGATTTATCATAAATCATATGTATATGTTACAGATTGTGAAATCAGTCATAAAAAATTCAGTTATTTCGTGAAATGACTAAGAGGATCAGCCATTTCGTTATTGGCTATATAAATAGGTTTGGACGATTCCATCAAATTTGATGTAAATGTGCTTGATAACGATTGCCAATGTTCGCGATGCACAAAACAAATCGCCAAAACGCATTTTGTGGCCCCGACTCTCTGAAACACGAAACACATGTCTTAGTCAGATACATGGGAAAGATAAATGGCCTGTCCAACACTACAACATCACTGCACATAATGTCACACAGAGAGGTGACGTGAGGTGAAATTGGGTTTAACATCGTGCTTGAGAATATGATGACGTGCATGCGTGTGTATGTGTATGTGCGGCTGCTTGTACTAGCCCAGACTTAAGCTGGTTTTAAAGTGCTAGACCACTGAGATACCATGCCGCAGTGAAGCATGAATACCCCACTCAGACACATTATACTGACTCCGAGTCGACCAGTCCTTGATGTACCCATTTATGCCGAGCGCCCAGGCAGGGACCAATAAGTACCATATTTTAACGTCTTTTGGAATGACGCGGTCGGGGATCGAACCCGCGACCTTCCGCTCTCCGGGCGGATGCTCTAACCACTACACCATGGAGGTGGTCCACACAGAGAGAATGCCAAGGTTAACCCAGGAAGAAAGAGAACGAGCAGTAGGGATAGTTGAATGGCTGACCCTCTTAGATATTTCACGAAATGACTGAAATATTTGTCATTTCACAAAATGACTGAAATATTTGTCATTTCACAAAATGACTGAAATATTTGTCATTTCACAAAATGACTGATTCCACAATCTGACTGTAACATATATAATGCAAGACAATAAAACATCAGTAACAGTGACTGGCTACAAAGACACAAACAAGGATGAAAGGGAGACAACTCTTTTCAGAGTCCCCATTCCAATCAAGTTCATATTCATAAACCCTGCTCATGATCATTTTAAAATACAATTCACATTAATCCTAACACTAAACTCTATCAGCAAGGACACCTATCCATATTTAATGTGGATTATCTAACCTGACAAACCTTGTACATCCACCACATTCCTGCTTTGGTGATCAGGAAATGTACCTGTCTTAGTCCCCGGTGGATTATCTCCCTTGTCTCCCTTGGATTATCTAACCTTGTCCATCCACCACATTCCACCGACGGTTATCTGTATTGTTCCCTACAGATTATCTCCCCTGACTAACTCTGTCCATCCACCACATTCAGGCTATGATTATCTGTATTATTCCCTACAGATTATCTCCCCTGACTTACCTTGTCCATCCACCACATTCCTCAGAATGAAGCAGGCTCGGAGTCCATGGCCATTACGACGAGTACAGATACCAACGAAGCGGTTTGTCTTCCCAGCTGTATATTTGTCTGCCACTGTCACAGCCAGAACACTGCCTGAAGTCAAACAGGGAAACATTGAATTTGTATGTTATATTATATATTTAATATTTAACAGAATTACTCGGGCAGCACTTCAACACAAAAGTAATCCTAACAGGAGTTATTCAGCTCACTACCATTGTTTCACAATCACAGCTACAAGTGAGTGAACTTAGTTTTACAAAGCTTTTAGCAATATTCCAGCAATATCACGGCGGGTGGACAACATAAATGGGCTTCACACATTGTACACATGTGGGGAATCGAACCCGGGTCTATGGTGTAACGAGTGAATGCTTTAACCACTTGGCGACAAAGCAAGACAATATCATAATCTTACCGTAAGTTTCTATTTCGACTGGACCAATAACCAGATGTGGAATGTCTCGATTAAAAGAAGCAACACTTTGAACAGACTTCAAATTACTTGATAACCATGATGTTACATTTTCTTTATCTTTGGCTCAAAAATTTTTGGTCCTTTGATTACTATTCTGTAAACTGCCATATTGTGTAAATTAAGCAGAAATCCTGTTTCACTGTTTGGCTGCAAACTTCAAACAAATAGACAAACATTCTTCACATTTGGCACCTATATCCTAGTTCATACTGACACACACTTGAGTGCTAATCTGACTGACAAAAATAATGAGCTCATCCACTGACTACCTGTAAGTGAGTCAGTTTAGTTTTACGTCTCTTTTAGCCATGTTCCAGCATTAACATGGTGTCAGGACACAAGCAATAAGCTCAACATATTGAGGAATCAAACCCAGGTCTTTGCCATGACAAGCAAACACTTTAACCTCTAGGCTAAACCACCACGTCCTAACTACAGAATTGTACAAACTTGTCAAAACATTCAGTGAGAAAGATTCTCAGAACTTTCAGTAATACTTTGATCCTAACTCAGCAGAGGCATGGTCAAAATTATAAGCTTCACAACTTGTATTCATCAATCAATCCATGTGCATAATGTCATAACTAACATGACAAGACTAACTCTTATAAGAAATCCCATTGTTTTAAGTTTTAACTTTTATCTGTAGATGGACTAGGTTTTATCAACAAGAGAACTCACTAATTAAAGTATGCCATATCAAACAACCTACCAACATAAAACTCTGGGATTTCAATTTGTTCTCGGCGCCGGTACATGTCCTCCCTCTCCAGCAGTTCTCGGACTCGGTCTCGGTGCTCCACACGCGGTGATGGGAGGAACTCGGGCATCACATTGCTGTAACACAACGGTGAGTGAGTGAGTTTAGTTTCTACGCCACTTTTAGCAATATTCCAGCAATATCACAGCAGGGGACACCAGAAATGGGCTTCACACATTGTACCCATATGGGGAATCGAACCCGGGTCTTCATCGTGACGATCAAACGCTATAACCACTTGGCTGCCCTACTGCACAATGGCCTGACCTGAAGTCTGGAGGCAGTTCCACATGGCGCCGCCCGACTACGTTCTCAATGTCCTTTACATCAGGATGCTGGGACAGTGGCGTTCGCCGATGACGCTCCACCTTCTCATTGTCTAGGTAGTTGATCACTCTGATGTCATTGCGACCTGAAGCAAGTAACCTCAACAACTGACAGGCTGGTCACTATTCAGCACAAAATTAGGTCTATATGGTACAGTGAAATGGAGGGTGATTTTATGCACAGGATGTTCACCTATCCCTGCCAGGGTGATGAGTACATGTATATGGAAATAAAGTAGGCCTGTCATCTGGAACAAACAACACCCAAAACCCTGAAGTGATTGTCATGGCGTATTAATACATTAGCTGTCCAAAACCAAGAATCTGAAAGGGAGTCCGATGACCATCTCAATTTTCATCTTTCTAACTGCACAGGCAATAAAGAACATGGCAAAAATATTTGAATTTGAATAGGATATTTGCACTTTCAAATTAAATGTCCACACATTACGACTTACCATTCGTGGTTATAAATTGATATATTACACTCATCGTACATGTACATGGAATAAACGTGATATTACATTCATCGTACATTTTCACGGAATAAACATGTCTCGTAATTTCAGTATTACCTGTTTCATATTGTACCAGTTTACTCGTCTTTAGCATTGTTATTTATTGCACTTCAAATTATAACTGCGGTATTTTTTTATATCTATTATGACTGGGATTACCTGATACCACTGATCTTTTGCAGAAATTATCATACGTCCTGACTGACAGTCTCAATGACCTCAACTTTCGTGCTAAGGATGCCATGCTTTTGCTCCCATGACTGTAATGCGTCGGCGCAGAACACTTCCGCTTCCGGTAGAGACGGGGCACCTGTCTTGGATGTAAACATGATTATTTCTTGAGATATTCAACAGTAAGTTTTACTTTATGAGCTTTTTCTTTTAAATGTTGTTTTTCAATAAGGATAAGAATTTGACCATAATATTTAATCATCTGTGAATTTGAATATCTTGACTTAACGACCGAATATGCATCTTGTTGTGTTATTGGTTCAGTTTTCGATCACCTGCTTCCACAGACGTGTTATGTTGTAGAACAGCATTTTCTAAAGGCAATTTTTACAGTTCCAGTTTGCACATAGTTTTGTGGAGATGCTGAACATGTTTGCCCGGTCAAGTGTATTACTCTGGGGCCTTTACTCTCCCTGCGACAGACAGATCGCAGGTGCCTCTTCGATCTTACGTCAGTTACTGTTCGTTGCGTTGGTGTAGTTTACCGCTGACTATGTATACTTTGAACATGTCACTATATATTTCAAACATAAGTTGAATATATCACTGTGTCTACATGTCACTGACATGTTCTTCCCAGATGACTTTGACCTGTAGACATCCCTCCTGACTGAATGGTCGCCAGCTACTACTGACACAATGAAGAGAGGGCCAAGTCCTTCATCCAGTGATGCCACTTCACCAGGAAGTTGTGGCCCCTCCCCAAAGATCCCCCGCCTTGGTTCATCTGTCACAAGACAATGGTTCCGTCATCCCCCAGGTGGGCGTGGTGCCAGCAAAGGTTCAGACTTAGGGAAGGGTTCTTCGGGCTTCGTCAAGCCAGGCACCAAGACAGCAGGACCCTACATGCTGGGTAGGTGACTGCAGAGTTCCAAACCATGTTCAAGTTGGACTTTCTTTAAAACTTGATTTACCAATCCACTGATTCAAAAACATTTTTCTTACAGTGAAAGCAGTAGGTAGTTTATGCCACCAATAAAAGATCTGTAATCCAAAATGGACAATAGATAAGACATTCAAAATATGTTGTAATGTTTGTTCCATATTTGTGTTAAGTAGGATAAATATTGACAATGCTTACTGCAATGTTTGACAAGTACACTTGCCAGATAGAGACCTGCAAGAAAACAACATTCAGCACCAGTAATTCTAAAACGTGGTCTGACAAGCTCGATGAATATTAAATGTTCACTTCCTGGTTTGGTATCCTTTAAAAAATGGAATAATTGACAGAATATTTGTAATAGAAAGGTGTGAAATATTATTATTAAGCTAGTCAGTGGAAGCAGAGATTTAGTTGTTGCACCTTTCCTGCTACAGCCTGATTGGCTACCTGACACTTGATGACAACTGCTGATGGTCTCACTCACTCACTGTTGACCATGGTAACAATATCAATTTTAACTAATCCTGCACTACTTACTTCCTGCACTTATTGCTTACGGCTCGAAAAGCGTGGCTTGCCAGACGTTGTTAAAAGACGTAGAACTGCAATCACTTCATGGTCTCGGCTGCTGCTCGTCTGCGTATGTGTCACCGGAAGGTGACGTCAGCCACCTCAGATTATATTTCGAACCATAAGCAATAAGTGCAGGAAGTAAGTAGTGCAGGGTAAGTATACAAATATAAAAAATATTCAGATTTTACTAATATCAATATGGAGTGGTTGGAATAATGTTTATTTCAGTTGGTATTGGTAGTGTACAAAATAGGTATAATAGTATGTAAAAATTAAACTCAAATAAACCAATAACTGCACAATTTTTAAAGTGTACTGGTAAGTAGTAAATACCAATATTTTACAGAATTCATTGTCATGATTATAGCAATAACAGCAGTTAAGGCATCTTGTAATATTTCATGTATGTATTGACAATAGTGAGTACTTTATAAAATTATAAAATTATTGTAAGAGGTACAACCTTATGCAGACATGGCAAGTATTGTGGTACCATGGCAGCTCTATCATGGTACCATGTTTTCACATGTTTTGGGTCCTTGAGTATAATGCACGCCATTCATTCTTGGGTACAAGTTCTTGGAGGAGGAGATACTTTACATATAGAGTGCAGTCAACTATGTCATATTGCTTCAGTTGAACGAACAAGAAAACCAACTTTGTAAATGAAAATATAAACATTCTAATCAAACATGGTGCTACTATTTTAGTTGTATATCCTGGGAGATATGCATTGTTTTACAGGCAGAGATTAAGATTATTGTTGGTATTTGTAATGAAAATGAGCCAGAATCAATGATCTGTTGCTAGGGGTGGGCGATAATACCGGTTAACCAGTATATTGCAATTCAAACTTCACAATAAGATGTATTGCGGTACACTTTTTGCGAACCCGTTCACCCGATATGATCAGCAATTTCCGTGACCATGATCAGTAATTGTTGTGATGTAGTCAAAAATACTAATAACATTTGTATTTCCTTTATAATAATATACAATAATAGTTTTGAGAATGTTTATTGGTTACATACTTGCATTTGCGTGACTTTTAAACCATATAAATAGAAAAAATAGATTGGTACCGGCACTCGGTGTAGGAATAAACAAACCAAATGGCAGACGCTGCTGCAGACGCTTTTTTAAACTTTAAAGCGAAGTCATCAATTTGGAAACATTTTCAATTGATCTCTTGTATAATCACATCTGAGCCCTGACAGTGTACAGTGGAATTGTTTTAAAAGAAAGGAAACAGTAATTTCATTACCTTAACCCATGTGTTACACTTTCACAAGATATTGCAATACATATTGCAATACGCTAACACATACCGCAATTTATCATCTAATGGAGGTTGTTATCGGTGCAGTAAAGCAATCTGATACACTTGGTATCCAAATCTGATAACTATGCAAATTACGTCAATCCACGAACTACTTTTGCAAAACTCCATACACACCATGCGAATCCTAAAACATCATTGATGACGTCGTCATGAGTTTACATTGTTTGTAAACAAACATGGCTGCCCCCATTCTCAAAATTGGTGATTCTGTAAGAATTGATGACTGAGGTTCTGGAGTCGTTACTGCAGTAATTGACTTTGGAAAACATGAAACGGAGTACTTCGTTCACATTGAAGGTACGGATTATGAGGTACGACTGAAAGGCAATTGTCTAAGAAAGGTACCAACCAAGGATTTCGATCTATCGATCACAATACAGACGACGAATCGATTCTGTCATGTATCAGAAACTGATATTGATGGAGGGGCGGTGGGGTAGCCTAGTGGTTAAAGCGTTGGCTCGTCACACCGAAGACATGGGTTCGAATCCCCACATGGGTACAATGTGTGAAGCCCATTTCTGGTGTTCCCTGCCGTGATGTTGCTGGAATATTGCTAAAAGCGGCATAAAACCAAACTCATGTAAAGGTTCAGTGAGTGACTCATCACAGAAAACTATCACAGTACTTTATCATTTGTGGGGTAACTATGGCAACACTATCACAGTATTTGATCATTTGTTGGGTAACTATGGCAACACTATCACAGTACTTTATCATTTGCGGGATAACTATGGCATTGGCAAGACAATCAGAGTTCTTTATCATTTGTGGGGTAACTATGGCAATACTATCACAGTACTTTATCATTTGCAGGAAAAAATATTAATGATATCGATATGAAAATCGTGTTATAAATAGTATTGTGCATTAACTTTTGGGATGATAAAGTTTAATATTCTGTCGAAATACAAATTTAGGACTTTATTCATGGTCTGCTTCTAAATTATGTTCAAGATGCTGTTTGTTAATAATCCATGCAAAAACATGTCACCACTCACCAGTGACGTGAAATATATTAATTTCTTTCAGAAATTTTTGTTCAAAAATAACTGCGATTTTTATCAATAATGGATTTATATGTAGTTATCCACAATTATCAATGTCTATGATCTATATCGATTGATTTGATTTAAACATATTTTATTCAGTGAAGAAAGGGATGAGGAACAAGTTATCCAACTTAGGTAACCATCTCTCCAGTATTTACAACATGATAAATATACAACAACATACATGTAATATAGAAAGAAATATAGTACAGAAATGGTAGAGACCTATGTATGGAGATACTTATTAAGACATATGAAAATAGTTACAGTATTCAAGAAAAACGCTTGCTATTTGATATATAATGCTGAACCGCTTTAAATACTGCATGATTTTCAGTATATGATAAGTTCTTGCTGCCATTTAATAATAAATCTAAATTTAAACCATCATCATGTACTTGTAATTATAAAAGGTTTAACATTTTCGTTCTGTGTTCGTTATATAGTGAACACTCAAACATGAAGTGACAAACATTTTCTCGTAAATTCCCACATTCACATTTTGAGTCTGACCTAATGCCAACATTAAATAAATCGTAATTCAATTCACTAACATGATATCTTAAACGAGTATGAATAATATTTTGTTTGCGGATACCTGTAGAAAAATATGCTGGTGCCATGACAATAGGTTTCTTCAAATATGATTTAAACGTCTCTGTTGATAGTAACATTCGCTTTTCTAATGGGATATTATTCCATAATACTGTCGTTGATGGGATAAAAGATTGACATGAGTGTTAAGTCTATATGATGGTCTTACAAAATTTTCAGAGTTTCTAAGGTCATAAGTTGTAGAGTCACGAACAGTCTGAAGAAGTAAATCTATCAGATAAGAAGGTGCATTACCACATTTCATTTTATGATATAATGTTAACTTTCTTCTTTCTCTACGTACTGATAATTTTTCCCACCCAGTTTCAAAATAGAGATATTTAAGTGGTGTATATTTTGGTAAACAGTGACAATATGGGCTGCTTCCAGTTGTAGTTGTTCTAATCTCAATGTCTGTTCAGAATTACACCCATCCCAAACCTCGCAGGCATATTCAAAATGTGGTCTGATAAACATAATATGAATCTTATTCAAAATTTGCCTACTTAGTAAGAATTTTAATTTACGCATGGAGTTTATCATCTTAGAACTTGATATTACTATTTGGTCAATATGCTTATTCCATTTCCCATCTGCCGAAAACGTTAGACCTAAGTGTTTATGTTCGTTTACATTACTAATTTCACATTCATCAAAGTATAAAGCTATGTTATCACTTCGTTTTCTAAGGGTAAAAATGATAGCTTCTGTTTTATTTGGATTACTAGTATATTTAACCAGCCAAAGTTTTCCCCAAGAGCTCAGCTTCTGTAGGTTGGTGTTTATAGTAGACTCAAGCAGTCTATGATCAAATGATGAAAATCCAAGTGATGTATCATCAGCAAACAGCCTTATCAAACAATTTAGTTCATAAGCAATGTCATTTATGCAAACAATAAAAAGAAATGGACCGAATACTGATCCTTGGGGAACACCAGCTGTCAAATATACCGGCTTGAAAATGCTCCATTCACAAAGACAGATTGTCTACGATTGCTGAAATAACTTGATAACCACTGGAGCATGCCTCCTTTTAAACCATACATTTCCAATTTACACATAAGCAGTTGAGTGGCCTTTTTGAAAACCAGCTTGATACTTATAAAGTAAATTATTACAATTAAAATACCGGTAATTACACAAATGTTTATAGACTACTCTCTCAAATACTTTCCCCACACAACTTATGAGAGATAGTGGTCTGTAATTTGAAACAATGGAGTGGTCATCTTTTTTAAATAATGGCAAAACATGTGCTACTTTCCAATTACTGGGATAAGTAGAGGATTGCAGTGAGTAATTGAATAAGAGACATAAAACTTTACTTATTGAATCAACTGTTTTCTTAGGTAACTTATGGCTTATTCTTTTTCTCAGGTAAACATTTAATAATATCAGAAATTTCCTTTTGAGTTATAACGATGTCACATAACTCCTTATCAGTGCGTTTCCCATGGTAACGTTTTATTGCCATCTTCTAACGTAGATACAGATTTGAAATATTCATTCAACTTGGTAGCTTTTTCAAAATCAGTGAATAAGGATGGCCCGTCTTCATTGTCATTGTTTTTTAGAGGTGATATATCTGACGTTACTTTTGACTTTCTAACTACAGGATGTAGAATTTTCCAGTATGATGATTTGTTAACAGTGTATAACTCTGTGAGTAATTCATCTAAATTTCCATAGAAATTTTCTTTGGCATTTCTTTCATATTGTTTACTCTGTTTCTTGTAGGCTAGTGTGTCCTTTTCCTTTCCAGTTCTTTTTGCTTGCTTTCTTAACCTATCTCGACGTCTACATTCACGTCTAAGTTCTGAATCAAACCATGGTTTGTCGTTTGGTCTTATAGTAACTATTTTAGTTGGAATACATTTTCTAATCACTTCATCTAGTCTCTCATCTACATCGATAACCCAATATAGCTGGAATATTGCTGAGTGTGGCGAAAACTAAACTCACTCACTCACTCACTATATCGATAACCAGCTCTAGTAACTATGGCAATACTATTACAGCATTATAACAGTTGTGTAGCTATGGCAACACTATTACCATACTATATTAATAGTTATGCAACACTCCTAATACAATATCACTTGTGTGTGACCATGGCAATTCTTTAACAATGATATAACAGTTGTGGTATAACTGGCAATGTTACAAATACTGTATCAAGTGAAGTTTTAACTGTGTCAGTTTTGTTTGTATGTTGTGGAACGCCACACTCAGCATTATTCCAGCTATATGATGGCAGTCTGTAAATAATCGAGTCTAGACCAGACAATCCAGTGATTGTCATCATGAGTATCAATCTACACAGTTGGGATACAATGATCACATGCATCCCAGTCAGACACCCGGTCCTGTTAGTCGCCTGTTACGACATGCATGTGTTGTTGAAGACCAATTCTAACCTGAATCTGTATGGTTACACTGGAATGAGGAGCACACCTGTCAGTCAGGTCAGCATGACCTCTTGATCCCAATATTCGCCACTTACAAGAAGCATGGGTTGCTGAAGATTACTTCTAGCCATGTTCAGTCAGAGACATAACATCTACTCGAGATGACCTATTGTCTCTTGTATGCGAGACGGATGCCCCCTGCAATACTAAGTGAAGTGCTTGACTCTAATTAAATCAATCTCCAACCAACATGATTGGGTGCGAATGATGAATGAGCTTTCAGAAAATACTAAATACAAGTTGCTGAAAAATATCCACATAGGTGAAATTTGCTGATAAATATCATTTTGCACATTTTCGTCATAATATGACTATATCATTTTTCTTTTTATGTTTTCATTCATGTCATTCAATAACTTGAACAACTATCAATGACTATACCAAATTTGTTTCATTATTTTCATAAATAACAATTTTGGATCCATTTTAGTGTGACATGAAGAATTTCCCCATCCGTGGTCAGGCAGTCACACAGATGAGTGACCCCTTCTCAGGTAGTCACTTGTAACTGTGACAATCAGTGTTTTGTGGGGGTATTAAAATGGACTCCGTCCATGTGTGCGTGCGTGCGTCCGCCCGTCCGTGCACATTTGTCTTTTCCGGAGCAGAACTCTAAAACCGTTCAATATTTCTTCACCAAACTTGGCACATACATGGATCTGGTGGTGTACTGGTGCCTTTTGGTAGTTTTGGAATTCTGAATAAAATATTTTTGGCGTTTCCATGGCAACAAGTTCGACTTTGAGTGAAATTGGTGGTAGTGCTCTTTTCCGGAGCAGAACTCTAAAACCGTTCAATATTTCTTCACCAAACTTGGCACATAGATAGATCTGGTGGTCTACTGGTGCCTTTTGGTTGTTTTGGAATTCTGAATAAAATATTTTTGGCGTTTCCATGGCAACAAGTTTCACTTAGCCTGAAATTGTGGTAGTGCTCTTTTCCGGAGCTGAACTCTAAAACCATTCACTATTTCTTCACCAAACTTGGCACATAGATAGATCTGGTGGTGTACTTGTGCCTTTTGGTAGTTTTGGAATTCTGAAGAAAATATTTTTGGCATTTCCATGGCAACAAGTTTGACTTAAATTGGTGATAGTGCTCCTTTCTGGAGCAGAACCTTTCAATGCTCTCCTTCCACTTTTCTATATACACACCTAAATATTTGACATAATCATAACTCGTAGACATAATCATGAAGAGTATTTTGCCATTGCGGGGGATATTGATGACTTTGTCTTCTTGTTGGAAATTAAATTACCAGTATCGGTAAGTTTATGAGTGAAAGTGCACAAGTGGAGAACTTTCCTTTGAAAATGACTGCTAATTGATGAACGTAAGTGGTTTCAGTAAAAAATACCAGGTAGCAAGTTGTTGCTACTGTGTGGGTTTTTTCAGGTCGCAAAATAGGATTTTGAATAGCAAATTTGCTACCACAAAGCGTCAATTTCAAACCCTGGACAATGATCACAAGTTACAAATGACACAACGTCTGTTCTTCGGTAGGCCATGTTTAGTGCTCTGCCCACTTCCAAGAGCCCTTGTGTTGGAGAAGCATACTCTGTCTGTCCCATACTGCTCCTGCAGGGCTGTGATGTTCACGTCCTCCGTGTACAGCACCTCAACATGGAGGGCCCGGGTCGTGTGTACCGTCAGTCCCTCTCTATAAAGGAACGGATTGTCGTAGGGGTCCAGCTGGAGCAGGGTTGCCTCACAGAATCTGTCTGTGTCCGAATCTTTTATTGTCATGACAACTGTCACGTAATGAGCGCTATAGGTGCAATAAAAATCGGTGAAATATATATTTGTGTTTTGTGTGAAGAGCCCTTCAACTGGTACATCCAGTCTCCGGTTGCCATAATACGAGAAAGTAGGAATATTTAAAGTCCCTCTGTCAAGAGAGACGCTGAAAAAGAGGCCATCAATGTTGTTGTTGATTGGGGAGTGTGCATCCCCATTCCTGTCTTTGATGTATTTCTTCATCAGTCCAGCCTTGTTTTCCATGATGTCGTCCATTTTCTCCCGCGGCTTGTTCCGGAACATGACCTTGACCTCATGTGTAGATGGATCTCTCAGCATGAATAACTCTGCTTTTGCCTTCAGTCTCTCCAAATCGTCCTTAGTCATCACTGTTAACATAAATATTACATGTTATTCAGAGGTATCTGTATGTGGCAGTGTTATTCATTGTGAAACAGTGTTGTATTTGTATTACATTGTTTCTGTTGAGATTCAGTAGAGGGTAGTGGTGTGGTGTGTATCAGTAAAGACGGACTGACTGACTGACTGGTTTGTGTACACGGCTGCTTTACTAGCAATGATTCCAGCAACATACACGCAGTGGCATGAATACCCCACTCAGAATTATGGGCTTCAGTCATTGTTGTACCCATGTAATGGGGATTCGAACCAACAAGTACCATATTTTAACGTCTTTGGTATGACGAGCCAAACGCTTTCCGCTCTCTCCACTAGGCTACCCCACCGCCCCCGTATCAGTAAAGACTGGTCTGGAATCTAATAAGGACAATCAGAATACTGTAGCATTGTCTAACCCAGCCAAAACATTCAGGAGTGAGTGAGTTTTGTTTTACATAGCTTTTAGCAATATTCCAGCAATATCACGGTGGGAGACACCAGAAATGGGCTTCACACATTGTAACCATGTGGGGAATCGAACCCGGGTGTTCCTCGTGACAAGTGAATGCTTTAACCACTAGGCTACCCCACCGCCCCAGAACTTTCAGGAGCTTTATATACATGTATGTACAAAGGGGCACACTCTTGTCTTTGTGATCCCACAGTATCTCACATTACACAAAGACCAGCAGTTGCACGAAAATCACTTTTTAACCGAGGCCTTTTTCAGAAGCTTGACCACTGTTCAAGAGTATTAATCACATTCTTTATTGTTATTACTAGTATTACAGCTTGTATTCCATGTGTACATGGTACCATTCTTTTTTGTACTGCCATGGTATTCCTTTGCTATTGTTATTTTGATTTGTAAACTTGGTTTATAAATACAGGGTAAACTTATTGTTTCAACATGGAATTCGACATGTTACAGATACAATGTTGACTTCTACCTAATGTCATAGTCATGGCTGAAATGTCACTAGTTCACAAGCAAAAATATGTTCATTTAAAGTTATCTGTCGTATATCAAAGGCTCATATCAATGTGGATCGGGCCCCTGGTCATTAGTGTCTGGACATCCAGGAGTCAGTGGATCACTTATTAACAGATCTGTCAATTAGTTACTGGTTATTTAGGGACTGGTCATTTATAATAGGGTTTGGTCATTTAGTGACCACCGGGGGATCAGTTAGGGCCTGGTTATTTTTGTATTTGTCAGGCTACTGTGAGATGTGATTCAGTATGAATGAAAAGCATCTTATGAACAATGAGAAGCTTTCTTTGCTGATTGTATCAAGTAATCTATTGAATCCAATAATTTGTTTTGCACCTGAATTCAGGGTAAAACCTTTCGATTTTCGCTGACATTGGTACTTTATGTGTCCATGGTGATCTGTCCTTGTTGTCTGCAGGACGATTCCATTATAAGCTTGTCTGGGGGGTAGTGGGAATGGGACCTTCACCCCCAAGGCAGGCATAGGGGTCTCAAGGAGATACTGGGTGTCGTCACGGTGCAGGTATATGAGAGTGGTGCTAGCATCAGGGAGGCTCTGTTCAGTCAGTATCTTGTAGTCTGCTGGTGGGGTGTATCGTGTGGAAACTTCAAAATCCTCCTGTTGAACATAACTTTTAATTACATATTACATGTAATTATATAGTACATGTAATTACATATTACATGGCTTTTGTTGTCTGATGAATATTCAGAGGTTTGTCTAGGATTATAAAATGACTGCCTTTAAAATGCACATTGATTTGACTTATGTTCTTATGTATTTTAGCATGGCATTTGATAAATTAGTGGCAAAAATGTGAAATTAATCATTGAAGCTCCTTTAACGTTCTTGGTTCTGTTATCAGTAAAATACAAAACACCTTGACAAAACATAACTTAGGGAATATTGTCTAATTTTCACAATTTAATGACAGTTGCTGCCAATTTGGTACCAGATAATAGACTATGATGATAGTGATGATTATTATGATGATTCTTATAAGAAGGAACAAAACTTCTGTAGCACATCCTCCAAGTTTGTAGTTAACCTTTAAGCATGTTAAGATCCAAGGAAACAATGTACTATGGTCTGCTGTGGTGCTGCTACGACATGTGACCTTACTGATTGTGCGTCCTCATGTTCCAAACGGCAGGGATCATGCTCATTCTTTTAGCCACTGGTTTGACTGGACACGACATGATACATTCCTGCCTCCTTGATAGAGGTGTACATATATGCAGGTTCTGGATCAATATCAGTGTGAACTTCATTCCTGGCTGTGTACCCGTGAAGATCAGGGTTAGAATTGGTCTTCAGCAACCCATGCTTCTTGTAAGAGGCGACCTAGTGTTCAGGCTCGCTGACTTGGTTGACACATGTCATTGTATCCCAGTTCGTAGATTGATGCTCTTGGATTGTCTGGTCCAGTCTCAGTTATTTACACACACCTTTATCATATAGCGGGAATATTGCTGATTAAACATACAAATCCTGGCTGTAATATCTTGTGATTCGATCTGAATCACGTCCCAAATGAACTTAGATGGGTGGGCTGATTCAGAACCCCATCACCTATACTATTTGGAATTTTGTTGATTGTAAAATATTATTAACTCACATGTTCTAAGCACAGTAACAGAAATGTCCTCCTTCTTAGGGAAGACATCCCACTTACCATAGCCATCTTGGTATACACCAAACTGGTTGTGAGCAGAGTTTTACTGTTGTTGAGTGTTAGGGACACTTCTGGTCCTGTAAGAAAAAATGTTTTGGTTTCATAACAATATATGGTATGGATTTTGAACTTCTTTATTATTTACAACATGAAAATCAAGCATCTGATGTTTGGGTTTGGTTTTTTTACAGCTTCTTGTTTCTCGGCATCTTGTGTTTTAAATTCCATCATGAATTCCTCCTCAACAGTTGGGAAAGCATGATCACAGGGTAAAGCATGATCACAGGGTAAAGCAGAGATTAATGTTCACAGGAACTGGACATAAAGGAATTGTTTAGTGTTTTGGCTTCCAAGGGAAGTAACTCTAATCTGAAGTCATAATGCTAACCAACACACAAAATTCTGAAATTGTTATAACTCCAGATGTCTGACACTGAGGATATAGTTGTTCCTATGAACACATAAAACTGGTAAATTGATAATTATCCATTCCTTCATTTAATGAAAGTGTGGAGGTATGATCTATGTGCATTAAACTATGTTTATAATGAACTTACAGATATAACACACTGTTCTTTTTGTCACTGCCTCTTGTTTAATATTTTAGTCGAAAAGCATGTAACAAGCTAAGGGTATCATGAATTAAAATTAGTGTTCATTTTGAGTTCATGATAACCACAGAAAACTCATATACTCCCCATCAAAAGTCTAGACACACTAGTGTAAATGTAGCCACTTACTTAAGTCAACTGTTCTAAACTAGATTTTGCAAAATTTTCCATACTGTTTACAGGTACTGTTTACACGTATGAACTCATGAACTGATGTATTGTAAACAAATTTGTAATGTTGAAAAGATTATTGTCATTGGTTAAAAAAATGATGAAACTGAGTGAAAATTGGCAAATTTTTAACAAAATTTACACCACAACACAGCTGTTCACATGCACGATATTTGCAGATGCTTTTAGCAATTTAATGCATGATCCTCGTGCAATTCATCTGCATAAAGTTTGCAGTTGGTTCCCCAAAGTTAGTTGAGAAATTCATCTTCGATGTAACCACACATATATACATAACATATAGTGAGTGCTTTAAGTGAGTCTAAACTTTTGATGGGTAGTATATTTCAGGTTGCATCCAATATGATATTTAGTACTGCAGATGTACACAGAACAACACTTCAGTATTAGACTTAAGTACATTTGCATTTAATAAGTTTTAAGGAAAATATCAACCTGTAAATATGCCGACTGTGACACTGCCAGAGTTCAGCACTTGAAACATGCGTAGACTTTGTTGGACAGTCGGCACTATCTTCACCCCATACACCAACACAGTAGGTCCACCGTCATCTGTTGGATCCAGTGTCAGTTCTTCTGGGTCCAGGTCCTCAGTCTCAATAAGGTACATGGCATGATACGAACCAAGTGGTTTGTACACCACCACAAAGAGATGTGTAACTTCATCATCGCTCCAGGACAGTGTCACGTTTACATCGTTGGTTTCAGTCCTTAATGAAAGTGCGAAAGATTTAAACTGAAAGAGAAATCAAAACACTTGACACTAGGGCTGGCTATCAATAGAGATCGATAATCATTAACTAAATATCTACTGATTGTCGATAAATATCGGAGAGCAAAAATGTCTGAAAGAAATAGAGATATCTCAAATCACTGGTGAGTGGTGACATGTTTTTCCAAGGATTCTTAACCAAACAGCATCCTGAACATTATTATCCCCCGCCGCGCGTTTAGCGCGAAGCGGGGGATATAGTATTAGGCTCCGTCTGTCCGTACGTACGTACGTACGAATTGGAATATCTTAAGAACCGTTGACTAGATTCTTTTCATATTTGGTACCTAGTTTCATCACAGTATAAGAGAGGTCAAACTCAGGTTTGGTGACCTTGACCTTCATTTCAAGGTCCCAAGGGGACTTTAACATTTTACCTGCATGTTAAGCTATATCAAGAACCATTCTCTGGATTTTCTTCATATTCAATTATAAGCTTTATCTAGGGAAGGCACAGGGCCCAGTCAATTTTGGTGACCTTCACTTAATTTTCAAGGTCATGGCGACACTTTGAAGATTTCAGCATGTAAACCTGCATGTTAAGATAGTCAGCAAGATATCGCAAAAAAATATTCACTGGATTTTCTTCATATTTGACGCCAAGCTTCATCTAGGGTACCCAGGGCCCAGTCAATTTTGGTGACCATCACATAATGTTTAGGGTCACGATGACACTTTGAAGATTTCAGGTTGTTAACCTTAATTGTCAGCAAGATATTTTAAGAACGGTTCACTGGATTTTCTTCATAGACTTTTAAGACTTCTCTTGAATGTTTTTCAATAAGCAATTTCTTTAGTACTAGTTTTGCATATTTCATACACTATGACATTCATGTCAAGGTCAAAGTCAGTCTTGAAAATATGTGTGTGTTTGAACAACTAAAGAGCCAGATATCAAGAGAGTTTGATTAGTCATGTTTTTGTTGACATTTAACTTCATCTTAAACTTTCAACTTTCATAGTTTGATTTGATAATTTGCAGTGGGGGATTATGTCACCTTAGTGACAATGCTTGTTTAGAAGCAGATCATGACTTAAGTCCTGAATTTGTATATTGTGTGAGAAAATTAAATCTTTTTCCTAACACAAAAGTTAATGAATGATATTATCGATAACACAATTTTTTTATTGATAATCATTAATCATCTTTCTTATCGACCAAATTTCCAATTATTGATAATTTTCACCAGCCTAACTTGACAGGTCGCCTTGACACTGCTTACATGGAGTACTGCTTGGCATACTCCCAGCTTAAGTCCTCCTTCTGTTGTGCATTTATTGACATTTGATAACTATTGATTATGCATTGATTATTGATCAGTGTAATTTAACGCAAATCAAACAGTGATTTTGTTTCTGATGACACACAATTGAATTTTGTTCAAGGTAAATTGATTTTGCAGGCATCATATGATTATTGAACAATGAGTATACACTTGATAGTAATAATTGATTTTAGGTTCACAAATTATTTACATCCAACTCAAACACTCGCCCAGCAGAGAGTCTTCATTTATTAGTTATAACAGCATTCTACTTACATTGCTAGCCATACTGAATCACCAATGTGAGCAAGTCCCTCGACCAATGTTACACTGCCATATGCATATCCAAGTCTGTGTGTAGCAGATCCAAAAGGAGGGAGATATAATGCTGCTACCAGTCCAATCGTGTATGAACAATGTTGGATTGTCAAGTAAGCCACTGTTATACCTTTCCTGGAAAGATATTTTGTTTCCTAGATTTGTATTTATAGCTCCAGCTCATCGCAAACAGAAAGTTAACAATCGATCAGCATGTCAAAGTCTATTGTTATGAATGTGGTAATTGTGCAGTATTAACAAAACTGTCGTGATGCGCAGTTTATGCATGTTGATTTCCTAGTAGTTTATAATGAGTTCAGTCCTATAGCAAACTGAAAGTGAAAGTACAGATTATTGACTGAGAAACAGCTACTCAAGCTATCTGTCTCTGCTGATATGGATGTGATTTTTGTTTTATCTGACAGACCAAGTCGATTGTTATGGGGGTGGTATAATGTAACACATAATACCATCACTGTCTGTGCAAATCTTTTTTTTTTTTTTTTTTTTTTTTTTTGTTTTAACTGTTCACAGATTTTTCCAACACTAAACGTGTAAAAAGTGACAGTGGTTATGTCACCATGAAAGCCATTTAAAAAATATGAAATGTCATATTTTCCCATTATAGTCTGTCAACCCAACTTTTGGGACACCCCCTTTGTCAAATATCTTCCAAATAACACCAAGTGACCACATGCCATTAACATATATCTTAATGATCCCCTTTGACGTAATAAGAAAAAATAGTTTTAACTTTGTTAGTCACTTGGGGGAAAAGTTACTTAGGTAACTATCATTAAAATTATCCTCAAACTACAATACTTTTTTCTGTAAGTGTATCATGCGCGATTTATTGGATTGTTTTGGTTAGACCAAAATGTTTGCTATGTCAATATGGATATTTCACTATATTACTTTTTGTATGATTACACTTATGAAAATCAAATGTAACATGTGTCGGGTTCGGGATTACACCTTCTTAGTACTCGATGCATATGTCATGCTTGTCTACTGTTTCATCAAATTATATTCATATGCCATCTTGTATGCTTCACTGAAATGAATAAAAATATTAAAACCAAAAACATAAAACTAACATTAAAATTTCTGTTTGTTTTGGTGTCAAGAGTCAGGGTTGCAGTAGTGAGTGAGTGAGTGAGTTTAGTTTTACGCCGCTTTTAGCAATATTCCAGCAATATCATGGCGGGGGACACCAGAAATGGGCTTAACACATTGTACCCAGCGTGGGGAATCGAACCCGGGTCTTCGGCGTGACGAGCAAACGCTTTAACCACTAGGCTACCCCACCGCCCCCAGGGTTGCAGTAAACGTAACAGCTTACGAGTTAGGTCAGCGCACAATTCATGTACATGACCTCAGGTCACAGTGGCGTGGACTTCAGGTTCACATGTCTATATCAGGGGAACATCTCAAAAGCATTTAAGAATAATAACACTTACGTTAGTCACCGTCAGACAATCCTGCTTCAAAATCAGAGCTACCAGTGTCAGTGTCGTCACCAAAGTCTAGATTGATCAAGATTGGTTGGACACGTTTCCTTTGTAGACCATCTTTAACCCAGTATTCTTCTTCCACTTTGATCACATGATTGACACATTGCTGCCATAATTCTGATGATAGTGTTGCTATTTCTTCGTTGACAATTTGTTTCACGTCTTTGAGTTTGAAAGAAACATTTTTCATGCAGCTGAATCCTTTAAATTGCCCCCAGATCAGTTCAATTGGATTACGGTCACAGTGATAGGGCGGCAAACATAGAACTTCATGACCATGCTTTTTCAACATGGTGTCAATCAACAGGGGGTGGTTTGCGAGCTAGTATGATATCATACAGTTTAGTTTTAGTAGCTTTAGCTTGAACCAAAAGTCGATACCATGCCTGGACAACCAAGAAGTCATCTCATGTTTCCTGGAAGCGGAGGTAGGAGTCTTCTCCAGGGGATCTCTAACACTGTGGTATGGTGCGTTGTCCATCACCACCAAACCAGGGGCGGATACAGCTTTTTGAGAAAGGAGGGGTGCACACTATTGAGAAAGGTGGGGTGCACACTTCATTTTCACGAGAGTTTCAATGGTCATTTAATAAAATTTCAGGACAAAAGAGAGGGTGCGCACCCCTGCACACCCCCTCTGGATCCGCCTATGCAAACACTTGTCAGGTAGAGCAGGAAGTAGCTGCTCTGTGACGTATTCTGTGAACACTGTGGAGTTCATCTCTGTGTGATAGTCACGACCATCAGTATAGCTTTTAGGAAATGTATTATTTATCATTACCTCACTGTTTCTTCTTGTACAGTTACGAAATATAGTTTCCAAGAGGTGAGGTGAGGTGAAATTGGGTTTTACGTTGGCTTGAGAATATTTCGCTCATATGACGACGTGCATGTGTGTGTATGTGTATGTGTGGCTGCTTGTACTAGCCCAGACTTAAGCTGGTTTTATAGTGCTAGCCCACTGAGATACCATACCACAGTGAAGCATGAATACCCCACTCAGACACATTATACTGACTCCGAGCAGACCAGTCCTTGTTGTACCCATTAATGCCGAGCACCAGGCAGGGACCAACAAGTACCATATTTTTACGTCTTTTGGTATGATGCGGTCAGGGATCGACCCTGCGGCCTTCCGCTCTCCGGGCGGATGCTCTAACCACTACACCACTGTTTGATTGTTTGTTGTTTAACACGGCAGTTATGAATAATTGAGTCTAGACCAAACAATCCAGTGATCATGAACGTTAGTATTAATCTATGCAACCTTGACCACCTGATCACCCTGCTGATCACCCGTTGAACTTCTTATGACAGGCATGGGTAGCTGAAGACCAATTCTATACCGGATCTTCACAGGTGGAATAACATGTAATATGTTTTAGGTATATCTTAGTGATGATCCACCTTCGACATTATGATAATCCCCTGTACCCATCACCCATTTTGCCCTGTTTATACTGAACTTTCATCTCCTCTTAAACCTGTCATTACTGAAGTTTTCTCCTCAAATTCTACCACAGTTGGTCATGTTACGTATCAAAATATATAAAAAAACTATCCAAAAATGTTCAGAGAACCAGAAATATACATATGAAAATCCACTGCATGATATCCGAATGGCTATAATTTGCACAAATTGGCTGCTCCAGCACACCCCACCACTCAGTTTTATATCAGTTGATAAAGGTGAGCTTCTGTACCTCTAGTACTATTGTGCACATGATTGGTAAAGCTGCAAGACTGATGTGACTGTTGAACAGTTACACTGATCATATTGCAACATATCCAGATAACCTTTTGTTAACAGTAGATGTTAAGTCATATCTGGACATGATTCAGTTTATTTGTGTTTTTTTTCGTGAAGCTGGAAACTAGCAGTTCTTTTTCAGTTATTGTTGTGGTGGGGTAGCCTAGTGGTTAAAGCGCTGGCTTGTCACGCCAAATATCCGGGTTCATTTCCCCATGTGGGTACAAAGTGTGAAGCCCATTTCTGGTGTCCCCTGCCGTGATATTGCTGGAATATTGCTAAAAGTGACTTAAAACCATACTCACTCACTCACTATTGTTGTGCAATACTGTGTAATTATATGTTTAATTATAGATAAACAATTACAAACCAATGTCTTGGAAACACCCATAGACTCCCAAGTGAAAGAACAAGGTGAATCTAAATAATTTGCTGTGGAGAGTTACTTCCCTTGAACATGAAAGGAGCCTGTGATCATGGGCTCTATATCTCTTATTGTCTGTAACCATCAGTTCCGGCCTCTGTCCATGTATGGCCTAACATAACTGACATACTGACTCTGATACCTTGTAAGGATTGCATGACACAATAGATCCCAGTATTGTCATGCTGGTCATCAAAGACCTCTAAAAAGATGATCAGGTTCACTCACTGTTATCTTGGAGGCGGTGGGGTAGCGTAGTGGTTATAGTGTTTGCTCGTCACACCGAAGACCCTGGTTTGATCCCCATATGGATGCAATACAATTTCTGGTGTCCCCCACCGTGATATTACTGGAATATTGCTGAAGTGGCATAGTAAATTACCTCACTCACTCACTCACTCACTCACTCACTCACTCACTCACTCACTCACTCACCCGCTCACTGTTCATAATGCTGGTGCAAAGTGTAACTTACTAAAGAACTTATACTCAAGGCTGGTTGCTTGTCATTTTACACCTATGAAAAGCTACTTTGCTTGTAGTTGGATGTTTGTCAAGTTCAGGCATGACTGTATACCAGACACAGCTGGGATATTGCTGCCTGAAGCATTAAACAACATTTACCCAATCACTCAAGATGACACAACTTCTAATCGCAGGTCCCCGACTTGGATCTTCGCCAGTACGGAGCATCGTCCAATGCCTGGCCAGGAAGGAAGGTACTGACGAGTTCTACACCATCAAGGTCAGGGTCATTTCTTATGGTGTGCCAGCAATAGAAGTAACTAGAAACATCCAAGGCAGAATATTTGTGTCTGTGGGCTTGTGCTCACTTCAAGGATACAATGACTTGTGTCAACCAAGTCAGCGAGTCTGATCTGGACAAGCGTAGGTTGCTGAAGGCAAATTCTAACCCAAAACATATGGGTGCATATGTGTGAAGAATCGCTAATTTGAAGGGCTGTGTATTGGCAATAAATTGTTTTGCAATATATTACAATTCTGGTACCTGTATTCTGATATGCATTGCGATCGGGAGCTTCAGTGTTTGGCAGTGAGGGACATTGATTGTTCTGGCAGAACCTATTTTCTACATACTAAACCCTCAAAAATTAATTTTATGGTTGTGATAACAGAAATGTCGAAATTAGATTTGATTTTGAGAGATTGTATTTTTTTGTTAAATTATTAAATTTATTGGATGTAAAGTAAGCTGTTTTGTCATTACAGTGGAAAACTTCAGTGTGAATGAAAGTCTGTGTATATATTAACTTTAACCATAGAGACTTTAATCATCAAATATTATTATTCCACAATATAGCAGTTCTGAGATAAACATTGCAATATGTATCGTTTGAAAGGCGTATTGCGATATACCGGTATATATGACATGTAACAAAACTGATATACAATTGCCATTTGTACACTTGCATAAAACATGCTAGGAATGCCATCCACCTTCGCCTCTGTTCAACTCTGGTGATAAATCTTTCATATATTTCTTTTATATATTTTTATGTTATGATACCGTTTGTATTTTCCAGATCCTGACAATGGAGGACCCTGAGAAGGAGAGCCAGGATGACCGGCAGGGGAAGATGTTGATGCACACGGAGTACTCCCTCTTGTCCCTGCTGCATCAGCAGGATGGGGTCGTTCACCACCATGGGCTCTTCAAGGTATTCTCTCCTACCTCAGACTCCAACATCACACTGATAAACAAAACTTATCTCCAACAGTTAGTTATCTAACATGTTATATCTCCATTCTGCACTTCAGGAGATAGTATGACCTTGGGTCAACTTGACAAGGTCATTTCCTTCTTCCTTTGGTTTTTTTTATATCAACAAAAACCCTGAAGTATTTTCTCCTACTTATTAACCATAACAAATTAATTCAAGTCGTTAAATTAATCTTTTCTTTAAAGAAATATAAACTTGAATTTATTTGTTATGGTTAATAAGTAGGAGAAAATACTTCAGGATTTTTTTTTGTTGTTTTTGGGGTTTGGTTTTTTTTGTTGTTTTTTTCCAGTCAGTACTTGGTGAGGTAGACAAGTGAGGACCCTGAAACTGTGTATGCATCTCACATGTTATAAAGGAACAGAACATGAATAATGCTTTGACTTCATTATGTGGCACTTTAGAAGTTGGTATGATGAAGAAAAACAAGTTTTATGAATTGAATTGTTTTTATTGCAATACATGTGACATGACAGTGTAGATGCTAACACAGTTATCAAGCAAGTCACAATTACCAATTTTGACTTTAGCATACCATCTCAAAAATATTTGTAAATGTCTTGTGCCATAGAAACTTCCCTCCCACGTCTAAAAACTCAGGAAAACATCTTTTGATGTTAACCAGTCTGATTTGTTTAGATATTACCATAGAGGGCTCTATGAGACAAGGTCTTATATGCAGATCAAAACATGCATTTGGATGAGAAAAGTAATTTTCATCCCAGAAGTGAGATGCATTTTGAGCTACTTCTATCATAAGAGATTTAGCCCCAGTTCTACCACTTCTCCATTCCTCTTCCTCTTGTCCTTCAGGATGAGTGCCTGGAGGAGACCCAGTCTGTGGACAACAACGGCCTGGTAGAGTACACAGGACGCCGCCGAAAACGTCTGTGTCTGGTCCTCGACTGTCTGATTCCTCACGACTTCAGCACCATGACGGCAGACCTCATCAACCTCCAGCACTACGTCATCAAGGAGAAAAAGCTCACCGAGAAGGAAGCCATTGTCATCTTCTACGACATAGTTCGTGTGGTTGACAGTCTTCATAAGGTCAGTTTGGACATGATTCACACAAGCCAGCCTGGTGATTTGTCAACTGTAGAATCATTTCTTTCTTTAAGCTTTCTAGAAACCTATGATTGGTCTAATTCCCTTTCGCCCAGATTATATTTCTTGTCATGGCCGTACCTGTGCTGGTGGGTTTCTCAAAGTGGTAAATGTGTACGACCTTCACCATTAGACCTACTAGAGTCTGAAGCAGTGTGAAGGAGTTTAGTTTTACAACGCTGTTAGCAAAATTCCAGCAATATCATGGCGGGGGACACCAGAAATGGGCTTCACACATTGTACCCATGTGGGGAATCGAACCTGGGTCTTCGGCGTGACGAGTGAACACTTTAACCACTAGGCTACCCCACCACCCCAAGAGTCTGAAACAGACAGGTCACTTGATATTGTTGGCAACTTCTCACACTGAGGCTGCCTGGAGCCTATTGTGATCTAGTCCTCCCACATGGTTCAGTATAGGGCTGCAACGAATCCACTATAAGGTGAATGTGATACATATCACAAATAGTGGGTAACGATTACAATAAGAAATCAGCAGTAGATACATTATTCATTATATTATATAAAGCAATTGAAAAATCAGTTTTTACCAGTTTTTACCCTGTTGACAGTATTAAACTACACAACAATAACCAGTGACCCTATTACAGTCAAATAAAGTGTAAACTATTATCATGATTATCATACTTGGCTTGCATATATTCATTTTGAACGGAAACCCGGAAAGATCAAGGTCAGATTTTGTCTTCAGCTACCCTTGCCTGTCGTAAGAGGCCACTAATGGGATCGGGTGGTTAAGTTGGTTGACTTGGTTGACACGTGTCATCTTATCCTAATTGTGTCTTTTTCCTTATCCTGACTCATGCTCTTTTGCTTGTCTTCTTCTTTCATGCAACATAGTGGAACACTTGTATCTCCCTAATTGAAGCCCCTTCAATTTAAAATCACTAATTAGTATTCACCACGAAGTTACCTCCTTTCCACAAGCTGCTGAACGAGGGCTTCACCTCTACCCATGTGCCTCACTCTCCTTCTTCTTCCAGTGAGCTGGACGGAGAGCTCTGTGTCTCCCCGACACACTATATCCTTTGAAATATATTTAGTTAGTTACCCTCAGATAGACATCTATAGAGGTTTAGCTAGTATCCTTCAACGATTATATATTGATATTTAGTCGCTTTTCTACAGTTTATTCACGGGACGCCGGTTTGTTTCAGTGGATTACGCTTGATGAAAATTCTGTACTATTGCAGATTACGCTTTTATGCTGCTGCTGATCCGCCTTTAATATGATGTACGGCGCCATGTTTATTATATTCACATTGCAGTTGCGTACTAATTTATCCAATTCTACCTTTTATTAATATTTACTTTATGCTTGGCACGCACAGCAGATAGGTCGCTGTGATGCAGACTCTAGTATGACTGATACACCGAACCCCTCGCCAGTCTACTGCTGTTGGCCGACTTCTCCCGCAGTGGTGTTCCGCTAGAGTGGTGGAGAGGTGTGGGACGTAGTCCGCCATCTCCAAGAAGCATCCTGCTTCCCCAGACATCCCATCGCCGCAGCAGAAGACTAGAGGGTTTTTCTACCACATCTCAACAGCCGGTGACCGCTCCTATCGCAGTTTGGGCCTGTTTGATGATCAGCCGGTCATCATACCAGATGTACATCAAAGATTGACCGATGTCGCTCAGATCAGCATGCAGCCTGATGTACCAACGATATGCGGCGATCGCCCTGAGGGTCCCATCATTACCAACACTCAACGCAGACGCCGCACACCCAGGGCAGCGCCGAATTCTGAGGGAAAATCAACGGTCTACTAGGACTTTCTCAACCGAGATTGTTCCAGCCGATGACCTGGACCTCTACGATGATCAGCTGATCATCATCCCCGACGCACGCCACAAGAAACGACCGGTGATAGCTACAACGACATCAGCAGAGATCACCATGCAGCCTGATGCCTCTACACTGATGTCGGACGATTTTCCGTGGACCCCTCCATTAACACCGCAGATAAAGCACCGACGACCTTCGCCGCAGACCATCCCAGAAGACATGATGCTAAAATTATGAACATCATGGAGGACCACTATATCTGCGTAGCAGGGTCCGAAGCCGCTGAAGGCTCCAACGTGACAGCACCCCAGAGGCACCCCCGCCAACGAAAGCAGCCAGGACGATGTCACCTTCGCTGGGAAGTCACGGACCACCTTGACGGCGAAGGACCTAGATGTACAGCTTTCGCTAAGGCCTTCGCTGGGCGAAAGGACCTAGATGTACAGCCTTCGCTGGCGAAAGAACCTAGATACAGCCTTCGCTGGCGACTTCGCTGCGGCAGGATAGATCATCACCTTATGCGCGTTTCATCCCTAGATGTGGACTCGACCATCAGACATCACGGAAGCCTTCGCTGAAGGTCATATCGCTGCTCCGACCGACGCAGAGGAAGCTTCGCTAAGGCATGCCAAGGACACCTGAATCCAGATCATCATCATCTAGAAGGACATCGAGGGACTATACAAGAGCTTCACAAAACTATCAACGCTCCCATTAAGTCTCCGAAAGATCAACCCATAGACAAGTTGATCATCGATATCAAGTATAAGAACTACAATCGTGATATTGGTTCTGTTGAATCCATGACGAGACGTGATGTTCGCTGGCCTAAATAGATCTAGAACGATCAATTAGACACTTATCACCAGACTTCGTGAACACCCACTTCTGAATATGATAAGATGATCCATGCGCCCTATTTAGGCAAGCCGCCACGATCCCACATCCTGTTAAACACAGAGGCTGTTCACGGCAAGCCATATATATATTTATATATATATATATATATATACTAATCGGCTTTTGATTCTCGACACCTTCGCGATGGTCGCTAAGGCTAAGTGGCTCCAAGTCTACTTCACCCAGAAGATCTAGAAGGGATACTTCGAGAACTTCGCTAAGTCTCCGGCGCTCACCGAGGAAGTCTCCTCCAAGGTTTCCATATACTAGCCACTCGGCCATATATAGCTACTGCCAGTCCGTTTCAAGACGCCGCATAAGTTGATTATCAACTGTATGCCAGATGCCGCCTATAAGCCTACGCCAAGATAATTGCTCAGGCTATTTACAACACAGAACGCCGCTGTATTATTAGTCAACGACATTTCATAGATCTTCACAGAAATCAACTATTCCGTGATAAATTGCTAATATACAATCCCGACGACGATACGACGATTATCTACATGCGACCATTACGCATATCTGCAGACAATTCAATATCGAAATTGAACAGCAGCCTTGTTACAGCGAGTATAACTCTTAATCGCCAAAGTTTCTGAGAAGAAATATGTACAACAAGTTCAACGCTAATTCTACAATTATGACGATACATTCATGTATACAGTCTACAAGCTCACAACTTGCAAGTTGTTTATACCCTTATATATAAGGAAGTCGGAATTATATTCAAAACTGAAATTACTTTCACGACAACCAGGAAAATAACCTACCCAGCATAAAATTACAGAGCGAGATATTTCACCCGGAGGTTTTCGCTACATTACCATTAACCCTCAAACACGCGGTCACCGGATAACTTCGAAGCTACGGTGAAGACCGACGCTTATGCTAATATCAACGAATTTACAAGAATTTATTCAAGGTGGGTTTTTTCCCGCTACACCGTGACATCACAGCTGGTATTATACAGAATCAAAATGCCTTGTTCTGATTGGACCATGAGGGACAACGACCTACACAGAGGTCGATCTCAATTCACAGTTCAAGACTTACGCCACAAGTGACAACTATATATCAGTGAACGAAAGCAAGCCTCATTACAGTCCAGTTAACCTGAACATTCATGATTAGACTGCCTTCTTCATTAGAGACCTCCCCTGTCAAGTTAAGACGAGGGATCGGCAGTCAGGCGATTTTACATAAAGTTCAACGAGGACAGACACACCTGGTTGTGCACCTACATCGCCAAGGACTTCGCGAGCTTAATTACCTAGACGAAGATACAAGTGGATCTAAATCCACAGCGCTTCAGACTACAGCTGAATTTCATCAAGCTTTAATTAACACAACTAGATGGTTAGTAAACCTACTAAACTTCTGTTTGGAGAATAAAACGGAAATTTCACTTCAACCTGGGATATGAATATAGTGTTCCAACACCTCACAAGTGAGGTTTATGAACACGCTTGATGACATACTTGGACCCCATGATACGATGATTCTATCAAGTTGGCCAGCAAGAGCACTGTAAATTTATCTCCACCAAACCAAACAGGAGGAAAAATGCAACAGATTATTTCCTCTATCATCAACTTACGCAGAGTGAAGTCTCATGTACTATATCTCCATTTGATCAGAACTGTCATACTACGTGCATATGCGGATGGACCTATTCCGACCCTCCATGAGCTTAATACTCATGATATTATAGCTTAACTTCTACAATTGTTCTACACAAATGTGATTGAAATAATGGAGGGTTATTTCTGAAATCCGATATGGTGGTTGCAAACCATTATCTGAGAGATATCACCACCGAGGACGCCTCAGGTATACACCAATTCGATCCCATGGTCCTCGCAGACAACAGCTGACAGTTCTCGAGAAGATAAGTCAATCTAACAGATTTTACTTATCTTATAACAATACTAAATAGCTTCATGCTATGTATAATTTACTTAAGTTCCTTTTATCATCACAGTACTATGATTATTACATCATACAATATATATAGTTAACAACTCTACAGAGTTTGTTATTATATATATTTACCTTAAGTTATTCATATCTTAAGAGTAATACTATGGTTACATGATAAATGCATTAGCTAACAAACTCTACAGAGTTTTTGGCTATTTTATACATAGCTTAAGTTAATTAAGCTAACAAACTCTACGGAGTTTTACTATTATATAGGTAACTTAAGCTAATTATACCTTAAGCATAGTACTAT